CTTCCTTCCTTCCTTCCTTCCTTCCTTCCTTCCTTCCTTCCTTCCTTCCTTCCTTCCTTCCTTCCTTCCTCTTTCTTCCTTTCTTCTTCCATTCTTCCCTTCCCCTGGGCTTGCCAGCCTTGACAAATCCTTTGGGCTGATTCTTTGGAAGGAAGCAGCTCCTGCCTCCCCCGTTGGGAGGGCCGGCCAGCCGAGCAGCCGGGCATGATAAAAACCTAGCAACCTGCCCCCCCCTCCTTGCCCAGGCAGAGCCGGACCCCCCACTTGGCAAAACCCTGGGCAGTGAGGAGAAACAATCCGGCTGGGGCGGAGGAGGAGGAGGAGGAGGAGGAGGAGGAGGAGGAGGAGGAGGAAAAACGCAGCCGGTGCCAAGGAGGCCATTTGGAGAAGCTCCCTTTTGCCTCCACAAGTGGTTCCTGCTGCAGGTCAAAGAAAGCCAGCCCAAAATGAAATTAAATTCAATTTTTTTTCCTGTAAAAGGAAACCTTTGCCCTTCCCCAGGGGCAGCCTTAAAAGCTGGAGCCTCGGCAAGAAACCACCATTCAGGGTTTGTCCAAGGATGACTTCTTCTTTATGCCAGCAGAAAAGCAGAGTGGGTTTTAATCTTACAAACATAACCAGGATTCAGATTGGGTGGGGAGGGGGGGACCGGTTTCACCTCTCTGAAGCTAGAAGGAAGCTTCTTTGCACAGTGGAACTCCCTGCCACAAGATCCCCTAAGGAATAAAGATCTCTCTGCTCTCTGTCTTGAATCCAGAACCTCTTTCCAACTTCCGCAGCAGAAAAACAACAACCTGGAGCCATCAAATGCGTTTGGATTTGGCACCCCAGACCTAACCAACTAACCATCATTGGGGACCATCATGGTTTGAGGCGTCCTGGCAAGCCCGGGACTGCTCCCAATCCTTGGCAGCCCTACCACCGTTCGCATAAAGAGGGGGAAAGGCACCAGGCCAGGCGGGCACCCCTTTTATGCCCATTGCACACCCGGGCAAAGAGAGGTGAGGCTGGGCTTTCGTCCTTCGCAGCTCGCTGGGCCTCGGGCCGAGTGACATCCTGTTATTTTCCTGCCGAGCGTCTTTCCCGCCACCGGCAGCCACCAAGGTCAAGGGCCACGTTCTGCCCCCCAGGCAGGGTCCCAGCAGACGCCCGCCCCCCCTCCCCCCCTCCCCAAGCCAGCTTTTTCCTGTTTTGCGGACTTGCAAGATAGGGGAAAAGCCATTTTCAGTCCTTCTCCCGAACCTGGGCTGGGGGGCTCAGGCCGTTTCCCAGTCCAGGATGCCCATTTCAAAGCTTGGCACGGCTTCAGCCACTTTTTTAATCAAAAAAAAATTATGCATTTTTTATTTTGCACTGTTCCTGGCACACCCCCAAAGTTTAAAATTTGTGTACACACACACACACACACACACACACACACATATATACACAGAGACACACAGAGACACATATATACACACACACATATACACACACACACACATATCCAACATCCATCCTCGGAAATCAGGAAACCGAGGCTTAGTCAGGACTTCTTGCATTGAATAGAGCAGGGGTGGGACAGATGACCTCGGAGGACCCTCCCTTCCTAAAGATCTTGTTAGCCAACAAATCTGTTCTCGGCCAAGCTTTTAAAATCAGCAGGAAACAGCCGAAGGCGAAGGGCAGGAGTTGGAGAATGGCAGGAGACCTTTACTACGCACGACAGGCCTGCTCATACACACACATACACACACACAAACGCAATTTCCCCCCCCACACACACACACAAAATCATGCAACGGAGCTAGGAGGGCCAGAATTCCTCCATTCGGGAGTTGCATTTTCAAACAAGTTGCCCTCAGCCCAGGTAGCCCTGCAAAAAAAGTCCAAAGATCCCTCTCAAGTGGACAGGTTACAACACCCCCTGGTCCCTACACACACACACACACACACACACACACATATATTTCTCAGCACGCAGTTGGGAGGGTCGCATCCCCAAAGCTCTCTGCGGGGCCTTTGGGTGGACCCCTGCAGACGCCTGGGGTCCCATTCTGTCAGGGGCTGGCCGGGCTAATAAATTGATTTATATTTATTTCCTGGCTTTCCCTGCCAGGAGGCTCACCCGCCAGCTGTTTCAGGCTGGGAGGATATCGGAATTGCGATATATATTTTGCAAAAAGAAAAAAGAAAAAACTCAGCATATTTACGGAGCTCTGTAGGATATTCCTCGGGTTAAATTTACGGGCTCCGCAAGTCCCTTTTGAGGAGGGGGGGGTGTCTGAGCGTCTGGGAACATTCCTGAGAAAGAGGCCGGAGCCCGGAATAACCACCCCACAGACAAGGACAAAACTCACACCAGGCTAAGGAGAATAAGTTTCAGGAGGAAGGAAGGAAGGGGGTGCACGCCCCTGAAATTTTAGCTGGCCCCCACGGGGCTTTAGCTCAATCCTCCCTAACACAGGCAGTCCTTGAATTACGATCACAATGAGGACTAGAATTTCCATGGCTAAGCAAGGGGGTTGTTAAGAGAGGCTCACAGAACTGCCGTTGCTAGCAAGTCGCTCCTAACCTTACGGCCTTTTTGCCACGGTTGGTAAGCAAATCACGGCAGTTGTTAAGAGGATCACATGGTGGGTAAGTGAATCAGGAAGGAAGGAAGGAAAGAAAGAAAGAAAAAGAAAGAAAGAAAGAAGGAAGGAAGGAAGGAAAGGGAAGAAGGAAGAGGGAAAGGGAGAAAAAGGAAGGAAGGAAGGAAAAAAAGAAGAGCAGAATAACAGAACCACCGAGTTGGAAGGGACCTTGGAGGTCTTCTAGTCCAACCCCCTGCTCAGGCAGGAAACCCCTCTCCCATTTCAGACAAGTGGCTGTCCAGTCTCTTCTTAAAAGCCCCCAGTGATGAAAAAGGAGGGAAGCAAGGAAGCAAGCAAGAAAAAAAGAGCAGAATAACAGAACAACCAAGTTGGAAGGGCCTCTAGAGGTCTTCTAGTCCAACCCCCTGCTCAGGCAGGAGACTCCTCTCCCATTTCCCACCAAGGCCCGTCCAATCCCTTCTTAAAAACCTCCCGTCTCGAAGAAGCACCCCCATGGTCCAGCAGGGGACATATCCTGCCCATGGCCAGGGCCCAGGGCCGTGTCCGACTTACTCCGCGCTTTCTGCTTGATGTACTGGACCAGGTCCGTGTAATTGGTGGACATGAAGGGCACGTCTTCGATGGTCATGTTCTGCACGGAGGGCAGCTGCATGTAGAGACCCTCCACGGCGAAGAAGCACGGCCGTTCCTCCAGGTTGTCACTCCAGTAGAGCAACATGACCCTGCTGGTCCAGTTGAAATGCTGGCTCAGGCTCACCGCGAACTCGCCCAGCTTGCCGTGGCTGGGCCCCGTGCGGGTCACCAGGGCATACTCGTCCCCCTTGTTGCCGAAGCCGATGGCCTCGGCCGCCGCCGTCACCAGGGGCAAGCCCCAGTGCCTGGTGTAGCGGCCCACGGGAGCCGCGGCGTAGACGCAGCCCGGCCCCAGGAAGGCGTGGGGGCTGTGGGCCAGCTTGATGTCCACGGCGGCCAGCGGGGCCATGATGTCCGAGCAGACCCCTTGGGCGTTCTCGCTGCTGCCGAAGATCATCTGCACCTGGTGGTCCGGCAGGAGGTCAGGCCGGGCGTTGAGCTTCTGGATGGCCAACTCAACGGCCGGACCCACCCGTGGCCAGGCCCACGGGTACGTCGTGTTGTGCCGGGGCAGGACCACAGCCAGGGTCAGGTTGGCACGGGCTGCCTGGCCCGACTGAGACAGCGCCCATGCCAGCACCACAACCTCCATGGGCCACAGCCCGGTGGCCCTCATCCCCAAAGCTCCTTCCAAAGATTCCCACCTTTCTCTGACTCAGATTCCTAGTTCTGGCTCCAAAGGGGGCAGGGGGCTCCAGGGAGACCCCAACTCTAATTCCTCGCCTTCCCCCTCCCCAGATTCCTCCCTCAAAGCCCCCAGCTGGGCGGTGGCATGTCCAGAGACAAGCCGGGCACCTGGTGCTCACCCAGAGGTGCTACCCAAACTTGCCTGCTCCCCTGCATTGGGGGGGAAGCCCCCCACTCACTGCCTTCTGGATCTGCCTCTCCGGCACAGCCAGGGATCCCCCCCAAGTGGCTTCAGCAGCCGCCCAGCGATCTGGCGGCCGTGCCAGGCATCCCCTGGGGTCCCCAGCCCAGCAAGTTCTCCAGCGCCCGCCTTCTCCTTCCTTCCCTCCCTCCCTCCCGAAGCTCAGACGGGGCAGGAATGAGTGAAGCCTCCAGCGTTTTTGACTCTTTTCCTTCCCATGGAGTCAGCAAAGGGCTTTCCTATCTCACCAGCCAGGCAGCTTAACCCTTGCCTGCCCAGAAGGTCCCTCCTCTCCAGCCCTGGCAGAAATAAGGGGGTCATCAGGTGGGCAAGGCTCAGCCCCCAGAGAATCTCCTCCTCCCCCCCTCAAAAAAAAACCCCCCAACCCTCTGGATTGGGATTGGCACCCTAAAGTCAGTCCGATTTCTCTCCTCTGCAATCTCCGGCACGGATTAAAAACGCATTTGCTGCTCTCAACAAATCTAGGGAGACACATGGCAAGCGCTGGCCGACAGCTGACCTTGGTTTCCCAGGTGCCGGGGGGGGGGTTCTAATTTTTTTTTGGAGGGGGAGGAACGACGTCAATTCCTTCCTCCTCTCTCCCCTCCCCATTGATTTTGTTTGAAAGCAACTTGGCTGTTTTTTTTGGGGGGGGGGGGGAAACAAGGTTATCAATGCAATGAATTTATTCATTCTGCAACGCACACCCCATTTCCAAAGCTATCTGTTGCCAAAGATAGACATAGATAGATAGATAGATAGATAGATAGATAGATAGATAGATAGATAGATAGATAGATAGATGATTGATAGACGATTGATAGATGTAAATGATAGACAGATATATAGATGATTGATAGATATAGACGATAGATGATAGACGATCGATAGATGTAGATGATAGACAGATATTGAGATAGATAGATAGATGATAGATAGATAGATAGATAGATAGATAGATAGATAGATAGATAGATAGATAGATAGATAGATAGATAGATAGATAGAGATGATAGACAAATAGATAGACAGACAGACAGAGACATCCCAAGGCTTTCAAATATTCTGAAATTTTAAATGGCATTTTATTCCAAAATGTTCTTCCTCCATTTCAGGAGTGTTGAACTGTTTTTTTCTGCCCATTGCATCTGGATGGCCTAGATGCCCATTAGGTTTCCTTCCCGCTTTACAATTCTATAAAGCATTTTTTTGTTTGTTTGTTGGGTTTCCAAATTCTCTTATAAAAAGCTGCAAGGCAGGAAATTGATTTTTCTCTTCCTCTGCAACCAGCCTGGAAACAAAGGTGATAAAATCCTGGGCACGTAATTTAAGTGGATTCCTTTTTTTTTTTTTTTAAAGGAGTTTGCTATATTGGGGATTATGGTTGATCATTAATCCAGCATCCCGCTGACATTTTTAGCAAAAAAGACTTATTTGAAAAGGTAATCAAAGTATCAAGGCTGATTCAGTTTTCCAGGATTTGAAAGGCTCCCCAATTTGATCGACAAAAGAAGAAAAAAAATCAAATGAGACAATAAATAAATTTTAAACTTCTTTTTTTCACATTTTCCCGTAAACCTTCCAGGATTCTGCTAAGTTTCAGCTGCAGCTCAAATGTACCCCTAGTCAGAAATTAATGAGATGAATAATTTACTTCTGCGTAAATACACACAGCAGCCTCAGCACACTTCCATGGACCCAGATGGGTGGTAAACACATTTCCCAAGAGTTGCGGCTTGTTCCTAGCAAACACACACAATTCTGCTTTTCCTTCAACACCGCAACGTCCTTCAAAAGGATCTGGAATAAGGGAATTTAGGAATTCTCCATTGGTGCTTTGCGGAGGGATGAATCCATTGAACACAGCGTGTTTAAACCACTATTTCTTAACCTTGATAACTTCTATTTAACCTTGATAACCTTGATAACCACTATTAACCTTGATAACCACTATTTCTTAACCTTGATAACTGTCTGGATTTCAACCCCCCAAATTTTGGCTAGGGAATTCTGAGAGTTGAAGATGTGTGTGGACTTCAACTCTCAGAATTCCCTAGCCAGAATTTGGGGGGTTGAAATCCAGACACGCTGGGTGGGGAATTCTGGGAATTGAAGTCCAGATATGCTGGCAGGGGAATTCTGGGAGTTGAAGTCCTTTCACCTTGCCAAGATTGAGAAATGCTGATTGTATGCTAGACTCATTGGGTATGAGATGAGCGGTAAATAAATGTAATAAATAAATAAATAGGTAGGTAGATGATAGATGTGATAGATAAGATAGAAGCCAAATAGATGATAGATAGCTGATAGCTGATAGCCAGATATGATAGATTAGAGATTAGACAGAAAAATATAGATGGATAGATAGATGGATGGATGGATAGATAGATGATAGATAGATAGATAGATAGATAGATAGATAGATAGATAGATAGATAGATAGATAGATAGATAGATAGATAGATAAAAACAAGTTTTTCCAGGGTTTTGACAGGGAAAACATAAGTTATCAGCCCAGGTTGGGGAGGGGATCCACCCCGCCCATTGAGCACCAAAGGGGGGAGAATCCGAAGGGTTAAGAAACGGCTGGAAGGACAAAAGCGCCCTCTACCGGACGGCGTTTTGCTCTGCACTGATTTCACCCAGAGAAGGGGGAAAAAATTAAACATTAAAAAAGAAGACAAAGAGGAATGGCTTTTTAGTTTAAGAATCAAGGCACCAACAGGAGATCATGCAAAAAGAAGCAGCCCGTCTGGATGGGTAAACTGAGCCAGCTTCTGAGTTCAAACTGGATTCTTTCTCCAGCTACATGGAAAGCAGAGTTTCTTAAAAAATATTCAACCACCTAAACCCAGATTCTGCACAACTAAATTCCCAGATAAAACAAAAATAATAATAATCTGTTTTAAACTCAATTAGGCTTGCCAATGTAATGCACACCCTATAACGCAATGCATAGGAAAACTTATAAGTCATTAAAATAAAAATAAAAAAAAACTTGGAATCGCAGACGGGGTGGAAAAAGGCAGAGCTGGTGGAAAGACCCGAGAAAGGAAACCCAGATGCAGAAAAGGGGAAAGGAAACTCATCCATGATGGAAACAGTTTTCCCAGTCTGGCTGCGGGTCTATCATTCCCAGGGACGCCCAGAATGCAAAAGTCGCAGACTTAAATGCGATAATAATAATAAGCCAAGCGCCTAATTGGAAGACTAAAGAAAAACGTGCATGGGGTTTTCTGAATTTATGTTGAATTGTTTTGGAGAATTTAGGGGGGGAAAAGAAAAAAAAATCAGACTAGCTAGCAGAGGATGGTTTCGATCCATCGACCTCTGGGTTATGGGCCCAGCACGCTTCCGCTGCGCCACTCTGCTTTTCGGACGATAGTGGCCTCTTTTGACCTATTATGAAAAACTAAAGCACATGCGCACTAAACATTTTCAACTCTTCTTTGAATGGACTTGAAAGAACAGGCTTCCCGCGCCGCGCGTGCGTCGACGGCGGGAACCTCCCGCCCACGACTCTTGTTAGGATTGGTTGCGCTTCCCGCTCGCCACCTTCCCATTGGCTACCTTCCCCTTGTTTGCAGAAGCGGGGACAGGCAGGCGGAAAGACCAATGGTTTTCCAGAGAAGGGCGGGGAAAAAACCCAACCCGCTCCCGCCATTGGCCGAAACGGGCCAGCGGCCAGAGCAGCCCGTAGCGAGCCTTCTTACTGGGCCGCGCGTCCAATCGCGGCGCGGCTTGTTGCGAGGCGGGCGAAGCGGCGGGTGCTGGAGCAGGCCGGGTGGCTTTTCTTTCAGATTTCTCCTCACGCTTTTCTCCCCCTTCCGAGCGCGGCCGCCGGGAATCGCTTTCCCCGCCTCAGCCGGAGCGGAGACGGTCCCTTCCCTGACGGAGACATGAGGTGAGGCCGGAGGAGGAGGGGGAGAAATCGAGGCCTTCCTCGGCGGGGGAAGAAAAAGCACGAGAGGAAGTGCGGGGGGGGGAGGGAGGGGGAGGAAGAAAAGGGTACGGCCGGACTACAACTCCCATCGTCCCCGCCTCCTAGCTTCGCTCGGGAGGGGAGGCGGCGCCTGGATCACAACACCCATCGCCCCGAGAGAGAGAGAGAGCGAGAGCCTTGATGGGAGTTGTAGTCCCGGGTGGGGGGGGGGAAAAGAGGGAAAGTAGAGCCTCCAGAAACAGGAGCAGTCCATCTGCGGCGCAGGAGAGGCGCTTGGAGGCTCTGAGGCTGGTTCCCTATTCACATTCTTCATAAATAATTATAATAATATAATATGGTTCCTATTCATAATAATAATAGCAATAATCACGTTAATGATACATTGATACATCATTGATAGTGATAATAGTAATAACAAAATGATTATAATTATTATAGTATGACTGTAATTGTTACGATTATATGATTATGGTTATAATGATCAAGATGATGATCACGTTATGATTGTATTATGACGTAACGATCAGAGCGATTATCAGGTTGATTGTATAATTATATTATGATACAAAAATCCCTCTTAAGCTCCAACACCCAGCAGTGCTTCCCCAGCCTTTACGTAAGTGAACCATGCGCAGAAGACACAACTAATCGCAGCCTGGACTTTTGCTAACTCCCACTCCCCTCCATTTCTTCCAGGGGCGACCGAGGCCGTGGCCGTGGCGGACGCTTTGGGTCTCGAGGAGGCCCTGGCAGCGGGTAAATTCCACGTGGGGGGGGGGTTGCTTAACAAAGGGGTGCCTGCACC